TTCAAACTTGTGACCATGGGACAAGAGGTCTGGGAAAGGAGAGTTGACTACAGGAAAGGGGACTATAGGAGGATAAGGGACTATCTGGGAGAAGTGCAGTGGGAGGAAGAAATTAGAGGAAAAACAGTCCAAGATATGATGGACCTAGTCATACAGAAATGCCAGGAGGCCGAAGAGAGATTTATACCAACAGTAAAGGGAAAAAATAAGAGGGAATATAATAACCCATGGTTTAATAGACAGTGTCAGGAAGCAAAAATGGCCAGCAGGCGGGAGTGGAGGAAGTACAGAAGACAAAGGACAGAGGACAACAGGATCAGATGCAACAGAGCTAGGAACGATTACATTAACATAAGACGAACATCGGAAAGGGACTATGAGAACGATATTGCGATCAAAGCGAAAAAGCAACCTAAATTACTACACAGCCATATAAGAAGAAAAATGTCGGTGAACGACCAAGTGACAAGACTAAGGAAAACAGAGGGGGCATATACTGAAAGTGACAAGGAAATCTGCGAGGCACTGAATGCCAGTTTCCATGGAGTGTTCACAACCGAGCCTGAGCAGCTCCCATTGTTAGAAGAGATTACCCTAGATGAAAGACTATCAGATATAGAGGTGACAGCAGGGGAGGTAATGAAACAGTTGACAACACTGGATGCAACTAAAGCAGTTGGACCAGACAAAGTATCACCGTGGATACTAAAAGAAGCAGCGCAGGCCCTCAGCGTGCCTCTGGCAATGATCTTTAATGAGTCACTTATGTCGGGAGAATTGCCCAGTTGCTGGAAGAAGGCAAATGTCGTACCGATCTTCAAGAAAGGCGATAGGGAGGAGGCACTTAACTATAGACCTGTATCACTGACAAGCATCCCCTGTAAAATACTGGAAAGAATAATTAGGCTACGACTGGTTGCACACCTGGAGAACGTTAGGTTTGTGAACAAACATCAACATGGGTTCTGGAAAGGGAAATCGTGCCTAACAAACCTTTTGGAATTCTATGATAAAATAACGAGGATAAGACAGGACAGAGATGGTTGGGCAGACTGCATATTTCTGGACTGCCAAAAAGCCTTTGATACAGTACCGCACATGAGACTGCTGTTCAAACTCGAGAGGCAGGCGGGGGTGGGAGGAAAGGCCCTAGCATGGATAAGGAACTACCTAACAGGAAGGAGCCAAAGAGTTACGGTAAGGGGCGAGAAGTCGGACTGGCGAACAGTAACGAGTGGAGTACCTCAAGGATCGGTGCTGGGACCAATTCTATTTCTAATATATGTTAACGACATGTTTACAGGAGTAGAGTCCTACATGTCGATGTTCGCGGATGACGCAAAGTTGATGAGAAGAGTTGTGACAGATGAGGATTGCAGGATCCTCCAAGAGGACCTGAACAGGTTGCAGAGATGGTCAGAGAAATGGCTACTGGAGTTCAACACGAGCAAATGTAAAGTTATGGAAATGGGACTAGGTGATAGGAGACCAAAGGGACAGTACACAATGAAGGGGAACTGCCTACCTGTGACGACGCGAGAAAGAGACCTGGGCGTGGACGTAACACCTAATCTATCTCCTGAGGCACATATAAATAGGATAACGACAGCAGCGTACTCTACACTGGCAAAAGTTAGAACATCATTCAGAAACCTAAGTAAGGAGGCATTTAGGGCGCTTTACACTGCCTACGTGAGGCCAGTCTTAGAGTATGCCGCCTCATCATGGAGTCCCCATCTGAAGAAGCATATAAGGAAACTGGAAAAGGTTCAGAGGTTTGCAACGAGACTCGTCCCAGAGTTACGAGGGATGGGGTATGAGGAGCGCCTGAAGGAACTGTGCCTTACGACACTAGAAAGAAGAAGGGAGAGGGGGGACATGATAGGAACGTATAAAATACTCAGGGGGATTGACAGAGTGGACATAGACGAAATGTTCACACGGAATAGTAACAGAACGAGGGGACATGGGTGGAAGCTGGAAACTCAGATGAGTCACAGGGATGTTAGGAAGTTTTCTTTTAGCGTGAGAGTAGTGGGAAAATGGAATGCACTTAAGGAACAGGTTGTGGAAGCAAATACTATTCATAATTTTAAACAGATATGATCGGGAAATATAACCAAAATCAATGTTGTAGACAACCGATGCTCGAAAGGCGGGATTCAAGTGTCAATGCTCGATCCTGCAGACACAAGTAGGTGAGTACACCAAATGTAATTATTTTACTTTGTAATTATACAAAAAAAGTTCGATCCTTGCACAGTATTAACTGTTGTTTAGGGGGATACGACCAAGTTATAATTAAACTCTTTTCTTAACAGAAATCTGAATATAATAATTAGTCAAAAGTTGATTTAATACTTGCTGCCTGTAAGAAAATAATGAACATCATGTAGTAATGACGAACTAAATAAGAAAATAAAAAGAAACTTCTTAATTACAAAACTTTGAGTCATAATTACTTTGACCGGTATTTTAACAGGCAAGACAATTTATATAAAATAATTAACATACGCTCGTAACTAGCCATATTAGCGCAGATTTGGCCTATCAAATTAAACTAAATATCAGTGACTAATGCAGTGTTACACCCAGATAAGCGTGGGCCGAAATCAGGCTCATTAAGCGAAGCAATTAAGCAACGCGAAATTCTCCCAAATTAACGCCAAAAGCCTGTTGACTGTGTTCTTGGGACCGTTCACAGTAATTTACAATTTGCAATTTACTCACTTGTAATGCAGCTGACCGTATGAGGAATCTTAAGATCATAACTACCTTTGTTTTCCGTTTAACTGTAGGACTCATTTTTTTGTAATGTTACTTGTATAAAATTCTGTTGTATAAATATTCACAGTCAGGTGTAAATTAAGAAAAATGGCATGAATCACCTCGGAAGAGAATATGGTAACGTGAGGAAATTACAGTAAGGAGCAATATGAGATCTATGACACCAGGCTGTGAAGGGCCGTGAGTGGGAGGGCGAGTGCGGGAACTCGGCCCGGCGCTGTGACAACACCGGGCCGTGAGTGCGTGTTGATGAACATTCTGACTGGGTAGTGCACGAAGTTAGTATTAGTTCAGTTTCTGAAAGGGGGCTCCTGTTGTCGAGTTGGGTGGAAGGGTATGCTTTGTGTGTGTGTGTGTGTGTGTGTGTGTGTGTGCGCGTGCGTGCGTGTGTGTACGTGCGTGTGTGTACGTGCGTGTGTTTGTGTACGCTCTTTATTATATATATTCACGTGTGTTTGTGTTTGTCGACCCACAAAATATGTTTGTAACTGTTGGTCGATTAATACAATGACTTCCTTCCCCCTTCCCTCTAAGTCTTGTTGCAATATTTCTTCACTTAATGAGCGTGATTGTCGTGCCATGCTCTCCTGGGACAACATTGCATGTGGTGACTACATCACCTCCACTGGTAAATAATCTTCTTTCTTGCATCGTTGCTCTATGACCTGTTGTCTTAGGGAGCTACTCCTTCTTCTCCCTCATTGGTTGTCGTTATATACATGTTCAGGCCTTCAATTAAGCCTTTTAGGCCTTCAGATTAGGCCTTCAGTTCAGGCCTTGAGCGTCCAATTAGATCTCTCACGATCGTCATTCAATGCAGGATAAAAAACTCCCCACTGATGCGATTTTGTAATCATTCCGTAATGCTATTGAAGTTCCGAATTATCCTTTTGATCATAATTATCACTCATTCTCTGGTTTCTGTCCCCCATTCCGCCCCCTCTCACTTTAGTTATGGTCTGGAAGGGTGTAAGGAACAGCTTATCTGTTATCACATCCATGATCTTAGCTTCCACAAGGTCCGTTATGTACAATGGTTGGATGGTCAGTTTCCAGTGGGGTATGTGGCAAGAGGCAGTCGGATATGTGCGTGAATATGGGGTGACAGGAATGGATGGGTTGGATATGAGTCACGGATAGAATGGGATGGTGAAGGGTGTGGAAAGGAGATGCGACTAGGTATGGGTGACTGGATGACGGGATAGAAGAAAGGGAGGGGCAGCCCGTTCTCGCAGTGGAATGTTGACGGGGAGGCCACATTCCCTGTCCTCGACCAGGCCTCCTACAGGAGGATAATAGTACATTCATAGATAATGAATCAATCATAGAGCATGGTAGAATAAGCCTTCCTAATCGCGTCACTTGTATCCAATATCTCCACGCGGTTTTTGTGTGTAGCCACGACTCCAAGCGGTGTACATATGTAGCCAAGTTTCCAAGCGGTATACATGAGTAGCCAAGACTCCAAGCGGTATACATGAGTAGCCAAGACTCCGAGTGGTATACATGTGTGTAGCAAAGACTCCAAGCGGTATACATATGTGTAGCCAAGTCTCCAACGGAATACCTGTGTAGCCAAGCCTTCAAGCGGTTTACACGTGTAGCCAAGTAAATTTACCCAGATCATCGCAGTCTCTTCATAGGTAGACTTGTTATATAACAATATAATTAGGGATTAAACAGCATTAAAGATGTAAAGGTTTCACATATATCCTTGCATTTGCGTTATCTGACCAGGTATTGTCAGTGGCATGTGTTGGCAAGGCAATATTATTTGGACAAGTTGCACCAATTTTGTCCTATTTATAGTCCTAGTGTAGGAGGCTTTGGAGGCAACTAAAAAGTCACCATTTGACATGGAGTAAACGGAAATATGGACATAAAAATTTGCCAAGTATTGGGAGGAGACATTAATGGGACGATAACATTTCAGAAAATGGGATATAGGTGGTTCGGCAGGTGTAGGTAGACACCACTACAGGCTGGGAGGGAGTGTAACGTACCTGTAGCTGTCCTGGAGGTCCTGGAGGTGTAGGTAGACACCACTACAGGCTGGGAGGGAGTGTAACGTACCTGTAGCTGTCCTGGAGGTCCTGGAGGTGTAGGCAGACACCACTACAGGCTGGGAGGGAGTGTAACGTACCTGTAGCTGTCCTGGAGGTCCTGGAGGTGTAGGCAGACACCACTACAGGCTGGGAGGGAGTGTAACGTACCTGTAGCAGTCCTGGAGGTCCTGGAGGTGTAGGCAGACACCACTACAGGCTGGGAGGTGACGGGGCCGTGGGTAACATACACCTTGATCTGGTAACTTGTTTCAGCGTCCAGGCGACTCACGTTGAAGTTGGGACGGTGGGACGTCACGTTGGCGAAGAGTGTTCGATTCTCGAAGTACACCTGGCGAGGTGAGGAGGAGCCAAGGGGAGCACAAACTAGCTTATGATTCTTACCTCAAAACCAAAAAGTTAAATTTTACACCGAAACTTAAAAGAAATAGAATTCATTAATAACAAAATTATTTTGTATCATTACATCTAAAATCTTTTCTACATCTAAGATATTCATCTTAGATCTACATCTAGATCTACTTCTAAGATCTAAGCCATTAATGTAATTTTCTTTTGCATGATTTTTCATAATCAAATTGGATATAAAATTGATTATTGCATCCGGAAAAGCGACCCGTAAATGAATTTCAAGATTTGTTAAAAGTTCCGAAAACCCAAATGAGACATCTGACAGATCATAAGTAATTGGGGATTAGTGTAGATATATCAGGTATCCAAAAGGTGCTGGATTGTCCACCAGTGATAAAAAAAATTCTGGGTTTTATGACACTCGCATAAATGTCATATGTTGAAAACTGTTTTAGGCAAATATTGTGTTGTTTCATACTAATATTTCCTTCAATAACTTGGGCTGGACGGTAAAGCGACGGTATCGCTTCATGCAGGTCGGCGATCAATCCCCGACCGTCCAAGTGATTGGACACCATTCCTTCCCCCCCCCCCGTCCCATCCCAAATCCTTGTCCTGACCCCTTTCAAGTGCTATATAGTCGTAATGGCTTGGCACTTTCCCCTGATAATTCTCTCCCAACCTCATACGAATATTTCGAGTTTTAATCGAATATTTTGTTATTTAATTGCACAGTATGTTGAATTGTGTTCGAATTTTGAGTGCTTTAGTAAATTTTTGGCAGTTTTAGTCAATTTGTGAGTTTTAAGCTACAATGAAAGAATTATCCTCACTCTAATAATCGGCTTTTCATAAGGTCTACCACATTAACAAATGCACTCTCCCGTATAGTCTAAGATTCCCTGTGATCTTAAGAATCATTGAGGTTCGTTAAGGCGTTTCTGTGATATCCAATAGAAGAAACCATAAATAACATTCCTTTAATTTGCAGTTATCCATATCTGATATTAACTTTAACGTTCACATCTCGTTATATTCTGCCACAAGAAGCGATATCCTCTTTCTGTAGACACGAACGTAAAGAGAAAATTTCCCCTGAAGCATCACAAGCAAATCGAAACGAACAGAGGGACAAAATCTGGTGCATTTCCGCCTCGATCGAGAGTATATGCAAATTACATGACCGGAAAAACCGGCTTTGACAAGCTTAGCTGCTTGATGTTGGCAATAAGGTCCATTAACCTCTGATGAGTTATTAAGGCCACACAAAGGCTTCCTAACCAGCCAGCAGGTATTCGTGTGTTCTGTTCTTAAATCCAGGACTCGAGAGAGTAAACTCCTAGTACACACACACACACTGAGAAAGCGGGGATTGGTGTTGCTTTAGATTTAGCTACTCAGAACGAAATGTCTATGTAGCACGGGGAATAGTGAGCCCGTAAACTAAGGTACATCTTAGTACCCACAGTTTATATAAACTATATAAACATCCCCGCTGTTTATATAGTTTATATAAACTATACAAACATCCCCGCTGTTTATATAGTCATCAATCGTCGAAGGAGCGAGATGAACGGACGGAGTAGCTGTGGTCTTCACAGTGTGATAGTCGGTAAGGTGCTTGGCAACGGGAGGTCAGCCTAACCCTGGAAACACAAACCGAAACTGTCTCTGTTTTCTGCTTGTTACAACTTGTAATAAAGTTGTTACATCTTGGCTTAACGTGTTTATGACGTATTAGAACGTTGTTACAACTTGCTATATTGGTTGTTATAACTGGTTAGGATGTATTAAAACTTGTTCGAACGTTGTACCAACGTCGTAGTTTCGGTGTGTGTTTGGCGGGCTCACTTTCTGCCTGAACACACCCGGGAGGCAACCCGTCCTCGCACTTTCTTACAGTCAATATTGACTCATTAAATACGTGCATATATGACATACTAAACATACTAGTTTACCTTGAAAAGCTTCATAGAAAACACCGACCTTACCTAACCTTCTTAGTATGTTAAGATAAGCATCTTATTGCTTCGTAATTACAATTATTACTTAACCTATACCTAAAATAGGATAAGTAATAATTGTAATTACGAAGCAATAAGATGCTTATCTTAACATACTAAGAAGGTTAGGTATGGTCGGTGTTTTCTATGAAGCTTTTCAAGGTAAACTAGTATGTTTAGTATGTCATATATGCACGTATTTAATAAGTCAATATTGACTATACGAAAGTCCGAGAACGGGTTGCGGAAGGAGGAGGAGGGCCGCTTATGCTACGAGCCTTGCTGGTTAGAGCGCTGGGGCTAGATTCACGAAGAAGTTACGCAGACACTTACGATCCTGTACATCTTTTCTCAATCTTTGGCGGCTTTGTTTACAATTATTAAACAGTTAATGAGCTCCGAAGCACCAGGAGGCTGTTTATAACAATAACAACAGTTGACTGGGAAGTTTTCATGCTTATAAACTGTTTAATAAATGTAACCAAAGGCATCAAAGATTGAGGAAAGATGTACACGTTCGTAAGTATTTGCGTGAAGTAACTGGTTCGGGAATCTGGCCCCTGGAAGACTCGATCACTCCACGTCCATTCTAAAACCCACAGCGACCCGTAGAGAGGGTGGTACTGGCACACAGCGACCCGTAGAGGGGGTGGTACTGGCACACAGCGACCCGTAGAGGGGGTGGTACTGGCACACAGCGACCCGTAGAGGGGGTGGTACTGGCACACAGCGACCCGTAGAGGGGGTGGTACTGGCACACAGCGACCCGTAGAGGGGGTGGTACTGGCACACAGCGACGCGACCATGCACCCCAAACGCCATAAACTCAGGGTCAGCATTCTATTCCTGACTGCCCACAAATACCCAGAGAGCGAACTTCTACAGACCGTTAAGACCTTCTCTAACACTACGTCAGCCGACATCCATCAAATAGGCCAAGAAAGGGTGTTCTGCTATACAGACGAAAATAACGTGGACATACTACATAACGCCACGAGGATGCTCAATAAAGAGCACATCTCCACCCGCTTCCCACGCCGATATCAAGCCGATCGAACAGTATTTGTCACCGACACCAGCCGCTGGATAACAGATCGGGAACCCTCCGAAATAATACCTAACATCAAAAAGGAAAACCCACACTCGAGAGTGACATGTGTCACGATCATCACCGCTGACGGTCCTCACTTACCAACCATGAAACTGGAGTTGACCACACTAGCCGAGACGAACCTGGCGATCAAGCAAGGAATCAACTGCTCTGGCGTTAAGAGACCACCACACCACATCAAGAAGAAACGTCTATACAATATCCAGAAGTGCTTTAGGTGCTATGAATATTCTCACCCCAGTAGCAAATGTCAACACCCCTCCCAGAGGTGCAGCCTCTGCGCCCAACATCACCACTTCCCAAGCTGCGACTCAGGCACCAAGTGCTGCCTGTTCTGCCAAGGTGACCAGCCGGCAGTCTCCCATCGCTGTCCGCGAAGACAAGAGGTAATCAAACAACTGGCCAAGACGAAGAAAGCTGAACCAGCCGCCTCCGCCGTCGGCGCCGCCAGCATCACCACCAACATCGTAACACTCGCCAGCCACCCGGAGGCCTTCCCAGTCTTACCTGGAGGAGGCTCCACCCACCATACACTCTATCCCCCCTACGGGGGCAGTACTGGCCAGTCAACCCATACCCCAAGAACTCCCCCTGCCAGAGAAGGAATCATCCCAGGTCTTATCAGGCTCGCAGAGACCTGCTGGGGACGACTATCACCGGTTCTACACGATACTTGCTGCATGTCGCCAACGGTCTAGACTTCATCATCTCTCCGGAAGTGTTACTCTCCGCCTCTACAACAACGACGTCTACCCAGACACCAACACCCACAACACTGACCGCACAAGCGGCGACTTGTGCTGCCAACTCCCTGGCTACCAAAGCACCAGTGGGAACGACAACCGAGTCTACTCAACCCGGTCGGCTAGCCCCACACACAGGCTGCACTCGGCATGCCCGTAGCTAGGACTACAGCGGTATCCAAGCCCAAACCACCTCCCTCGGAAGACTCTTCTGACTCGGCCGAGGAAATCCACGTCTGAGGTACGCCTCCACACCAACGAAACGACACCCACAACCCGCAAGCCTCTTCAACGACCACGTAAGACAGACCGGCCATGCTAACACGCAGTACAGCACACACGGAGAAAAATAACCAAGACGAAGAAGTAGAAACATGATCACCTCTTGTCCATGAGGTGGAAAACTACATTCCCCTCTTTAGGGGGCAGGGACCTAGACATGCCCGTTTTGAACATCGAACAAGAATCAAGACTTCATCACCACCGTCAGAAGAACCACCACAAGCCGCCCTTTAAGACTCTCCTCCCGCCTCGCCACCATTGAGTTGATTAGCATCGTCATCCCCTGGTATGCATCTGGGTTAAGCCCTGGCTCTTTCTCGAGATCTTCAGCGCTCTCTCTCTCACCGGCTTCTCTTCAGCTTTATCCACTTCAGTGCTCGCCCGAATGAGTGCCTTATCCTGTATCCTCGTCGTCGTCGTATATAGTCGTTGCTCCAACGTTTTCCGTAATGGGCTAATTACTTCTGGGACAGCAGTCCACAGCCTTATGGGGCATCCCGTCTTCGCACCAAGTCCATTCCATCCAGCGGATGACCCCACAGACGCTTTCATCAATTTTAACATGCTGTTCATTCAAAATAGGAATTTTCTAAAATATAAATTAATATTGTTATATATTACCATATTGTACATATTTAGGCACTGGTTAGGTTAGGTGCTTAGGTTCTGTTGGTTGTTATTTGTATTTCTTTATGTGGGTGAAGCATTTACAGCGTTGTGGTTCGAACAAAAGTCGTCAGTGAAGCACTTGCTCCGGAACTGTTCGGACGTCATCAGTTGTGAGTTGTGTGTAAACCGTTTTTCATCCATAAACAAACAGGGGGTTTGGTGGATGCATGGAATGGACTTTGGGTCTTTGTTTATGAGGACGGGCTGCTTACAGGGCTTTACGGCCTAGTGAGTTGGGTCTGTGTGAGTTGAACCTCTTCAGTAATGGTTCAAGTTGCTTCCTCAGCCACACACGCTACTACTCAACACCCCTCGTCAACTGTGTCCACCACGGGCCATTAACCCCCCCCCCTCTCTCTCTCTCTCTCTCTCTCTCTCTCTCTCTCTCTCTCTCTCTCTCTCTCTCTCTCTCTCTCTCTCTCTCTCTCTCTCTCTCTCTCTCTCTCTCTCTCTCTCTCTCTCTCTCTCTCTCTCTCTCTCTCTCTCTCTCTCTCTCTCTCTCTCTCCTCTCTCCTCTCCTCTCTCTCTCTCTCTCTCTCTCTCTCTCTCTCTCTCTCTCTCTCTCTCTCTCTCTCTCTCTCTCTCTCCCTCTCTCTCTCTCTCTCTCTCTCTCTCTCTTCCTCTCTCTCTCTCTCTCCTCTCTCTCTCTCTCTTCCTCTCTCTCTCTCTTCCTCTCTCTCTCTCTTCCTCTCTCTCTCTCTTCCTCTCTCTCTCTCTCTCCCTCTCTCTCTCTCTCTCTCTCGCACGCACGCACGCACGCACACGCGGCAGCAATAACAGCTTACGCACGCCTTCAACAAGAAATGCTTCCACGGACCAACTCACGCAACACCCTCAACAACTCACGCAACACCCTCAGCAACTCACGCAACACCCTCAACACCACACGCAACACCCTCAACACCACACGCAGCACCCTCAACACCACACGCAACACCCTCAACACCACACGCAGCACCCTCAACACCACACGCAACACCCTCAACACCACACGCAACACCCTCAACACCACACGCAACACCCTCAACACCACACGCAGCACCCTCAACAACACACGCAGCACCCTCAACACCACCCTCAACACCACACGCAGCACCCTCAACACCACACGCAACACCCTCAACACCACACGCAACACCCTCAACAACACACGCAACACCCTCAACACCACACGCAACACCCTCAACACCACACGCAACACCCTCAACACCACACGCAACACCATAAACAACAAAACTCGTGTCCTGATCAACACAACACACAATTTTCATCACCCGGATTATATATATATATATCCACGGGTTATGTAAATTAGTCCCTCCAACTATGAATATAATTTGTGGTTACCGTGGCGAGCCGTACACAATGGCTGGGGGAGTGATTCAAACACTAATCCTACTGTAATTTTATTAGGGGGATTAATATACTAATTGTATGTTAGCTAAAACGGTGTCCGTGTTAGATAAAGCGTTCCAACACAGTGACTCTGTTAGCTAAGGTTTGAAAGCTACACGGAGGATGTATTTGTTAATTGATGTTTATCACCCCTACACACACACACAGGCTGTAAATAAATCCACAAGGGCCGTGACGAGGATTCGAACCTGCGTCCAAGAGCATCCCAGACGCTGTCTTTATCTGCCTATTTTGTTCATTTGATGCATCACGTTATTGTGATTTGTGTGTGTAACACAGGCTGTGTCTGTATAAGGTAAAGCCTCCCATGCACTCATTAGCTGTTTCTATGATAGTTAAAGTTTTCCTCCTACACTGAGGCTAGGTCGTCTTCACTGCCTGTAAACACTCGGCCATGAGGCATGACCTACACTGTTCATTTCTTGGTTCTCAGGAGTTGTGACGGTAGTACTGTCAGTATATATCATGTCACTATAGTATTGTCAATATATCACTATATAGTTCTGTCAATATAACACTGCCCATTACTCAGGGGGGGACCCCATGCTTTCATTACTTACTCATGCACCAACTCTCTCATGTGTCTTATTCCTTGCCTGACAGGTCCACACACACGGGGCAAAAATTTAGAAAATCATACCTATCCACATACGATATCTCGGTACCTCGTAACTCGATGATGGTGGCTTAGTCGGTATTTACCAATATGTTTACGATCTCGCAAAGCACCACGTAGTCATCCATAACGATAATAACCTAGTATTGACTACGATTTTGCACCGCTTCCATGCTCATAAAGTGTGTTGTGAATACAGACTAAGCTGCGATGATCGAGGTTAAGTGGTGCGGATCTTATTGATCGACACGTAAGTTCTTCGTGAATTCCGATTCTGACATCCCACCTCTCCATTTCAGGAGACTGACCTTAGCCCAATCGAAGCCCAACCGAAGCCCAACCGGAGCCCAACCAGAGCCTCCTCTCGGATCTCTCCTTCCCTGAAGACCTCTGGCATAACCTCTCCAGTCATGTGACTGAACCTAGAACCAGGGCTGAATCACCCAAATGCCGCCACACATACGACTGGTTAGATTCGCCCGGGGTCAGTAGAGCTCGCTAAGACTCGATCCGATTATGTTGAGGCCTTCAACAGTGTGGGGCGAGTTGCTAATAGAAAGTCACTTACATGGGGAGCTGCCTTCGAAGATACTGTAGGTTCTATAGAGCCCTTGAAAGAGTCACCTCAGTCATATAGAGCCCTGGGAAAACTCGGTGGGTTTGTGAAGCACTGAGAAGACTCATCTTAGCTCTGTAGAGTCATGATAAGACTGATCTTGGCCCCACAGCATTGGAAAATCTCTTTTGGATTTGTAAAGCCTTAAGGAAGCCCTTAGTCTTTATCTGGGCTCTGTAGAGTCCTGAGGAGACTCGTCTTGGCCTTGTAGAGCCCCTGGAAGACGTTTGTCAGCATTTTAAAGTCACGGAATGATTCATTTCGGCTCCGTACAACATTGGAACGACTCAAAACGGCTCTATTAAGGCCTGGGAAGACTCACCTTAACTCTGTAGAGCTTGTGAAGACTCACCTCGGCTCTGTAGAGTGTGGTGCCGGCGGCGGCGACGTCTGGCCTCTGGCAGGAGAGACTGAGGGAGGAATCTGTGATGTTGGCAAGTCTGCATGATGATAGTGGAAGCGGCATCTCTGTAACACAGACACCACACTGTTGTTAGGGCACTGTGTTCTCTGTGTCCACACACACACACACACACACACACACACACACACACACACACACACACACACACACACACACACACACACACACACACACACACGTCAGAATGTCTGACATCTGTTTGTCAGTGTCCACACACACACACACACACACACACACACACACACGTACGTCAGAATGTCTGACATCTGTTTGTCTGTCTGTGTACACACACTCAGAGACAAACAACACATATGAACATTGGGGATTCAAACACACTGCAACACTGAGGTTATTGCCTTAGAGACCAGACCACAGAGCAGTGTTTCCCACCCGGGGTTCCACGGAACACCGGAGTTTCGTGAGAGTTTGTAATATCTTAAAAAAATAAAATCTACCCTCTTTTTCCTTAAAATTTTTTATAAACATAATTAAAGTTATTAAAGGCTTAACATGACCCATTAATAAAACACTGAAGCGATTTGAAAGTTTTGCTTGGTTAGATGTTTGGATGATAGTTATAATTTAAGTAATGCGAGTGTTTTACTAGGAAGGAGAAATGTTGTGTCGGCGAAGTTTTGTAGTTTTTTTGAGTTGGCAGTAATGAGGTCCGGAGCTCCTGCCTTAATCCTCACAACTGTTTTGGCTTCGTTTCTATCAAAACGTTTATAAATTTGCAGGTTAACATTACAGTACGGCATTAATTAGTTGCTATTATCTTTATTGTTAACTTAATGTTGTTTTTGTATTGCCACGTGAATTGTTGTTTTCTGGCGACGACATTAAAGGAGGGAGCCAACATTTTCTCCTCCAGTCGGTTCGGGGATTCGTAAACAAAAATGTGTGGCGGATATGGCCAGCAAAGCTGTCTGAAACTTATGCCAAGTTGTCCTCAATATTAGGACTCCATCAGTCTCTGGAGACTATGGTATTGTGCTCTGGAGTGGCCTCACTATATTACCTCAATATTACCTACTCATTAATTAACAATGGATTTGATCGTGGACTGATACAGTAATCTTACTTAATCATTTAGGAGTGCTGTATTATAAGTACATATTTGCTAGCTGAATATTAAGGCTGGACCATTTCTATGTGCAGGAGAAATATTTGAGTGAAATGTGGAGTTATGTATGTAGCAGTATGACCAGTTAAACAGGAAACTAGTAATTAATAAATAAAAATAGTCGACAAATACTCCTGTAATATTTCATCCGTAAGAATGGGTTAATATGCATTAATCCAACTTCATAACACGTCTGTTTTTGTAATTTCCCCGTGTCGAACATGATGCGTCAGGCTGGTAGGGATTCCTCGAGACTTTATGAAATATTTCACTATTTCCTCCAAACAAAAAAGGCTCGAAACCCCTGTTATAGACGGTTGGAAAAGTTATACTCTGTTATATAGTTGGAAACCAATGTAGCATTTAAGTTTTTAATGGATTGCATTACAGCAGCAAATTAAAAGCTAAGTGCTAATAAGTGCATCCCTAATGGTATTTTCACTTCATAAATTGCAAGAAATATAATTCTAACCTCAGTGTGAACGTCACAAGGTAGATGTGCCAGGAGCTTTATTTCTCGCATAATATATACTTGAAAATTATTTTGATCGTGAACTCTGGTTGGAATTTAAGTAGATTTGAAGGTTACGAATCAACCCATGTGGCATCTTAAAATATCCATGTTGTAGATAGAACGTCAAAACTAACTTAACCTATCTTTCTGCGTCAGTATGGGTCAGGAGTTACATTTAGTGACAGGTGTACATATACAGTGTTTGTAATCTAATTGTTCAGAGTTTACCTCAAGGTTCAAGCGAACGTTAATATTACAGCTACAATGATTCTTAACCATTTAAAATCTAGGTTAACTTGACCTTTTTTAGCCTAACCAAACTAACCCTGACGTAACCTAACCTAACTTACCAAGACGTAGCCAAACCTAACCTACCATTTTGGAACCGATGGCTGAGCAGACAGAACACTGGACGCGTGATCCTGTGGTCCCGGGTTCGATTCCGGGCGCCGGCGAGAAACAATGGGCAGAGTTTCTTTCACCCTGATGCTCTGTTACCTTGCAGTAAATAGGTACCTGGGAGTTAGTAAACTGTCACGTGTTGCTTCCTGGGGGTGGAGGCCTGGTCGAGGACAGAGCCGCGGGGACACTAAGCCCCGAAATCATCTCAAGATAACCTCAAGATAACCATGGCGTAACCTAACCTACCATGATGTAACCTAACCTAACCTTCACCGATGAGAAGCATTCTGACACAGAATAAGCTCCAAACCAAAGAGAAGAGACTGACTTACTCGCGACCTTGACGGAGAAGCTACAAGGCTGTGCCTGCTTGCCCATCTCGTTGACGGCCCAGCAGGAGAGAGCCCGGTCCTCCGGGCTGACCACAGGCTGCACCGTCAGCTGCGAAGAAGCCCGGTCCTGGCTCTCGCCCTCAGGCTGAGTGACGATAACCTCGTGACTGTTGTTCCACTGCCACTGGATAGTGTTGACGGCCGGGTAGGAGGAGACGGTGCAGGTGATGTTGATGGGCTTGTCGTAGATGAAGTAGGTAGTGTGGGAAGTGAGGCACTCGGGTGTGTCTGTACAGACAGAAAATGGGGGAAAAAAAGGAGGTTACTTCGGATATTAATTAAGCCGAAATACAGTGTTGTTGTTGCTGTTTAAGATTCGCTTAAAAATCTTAAATTTCTTAAATTAAATTTCTTAAATCTTAAATTTCTTAAAATCTTAAATTGATCTTAAAATCTTAAAAATCTTAAATCCTCCTAAAAAAAATTCCAATTAGCACGGGCTATGGTGAGCCCGTCGAAATACCGTGTTATAATCACTCTGAAGTAACGGATAATCCGTTAGGGATGTGAAACTGAAAATTGTTTGGATTCTTGTGTGTTTTGTGTAAGCATATCTTCAGAAGCAATTATAAGCGCTTGGAATTTTTGTATTATGTCAATTTCATTTAAATTAAGGAGTTTGTTCCACATGAAGAATGAAAATACACTATTCACTTAGACCTTATAATAAATACAATTATCAGTAATAAATACAATTAATCGCACTAAAAACGAATAAAATAAAGGATCTTTTCCTCCTGTGTTGGGTCGACCATCTCGGATAATTGCAACGTGGTTTGTTTGGAGTCTGTAAGTTGAGTATCGACTCTTGGGGGTGGTCCCAAGGGCCCTTAAAGGCGATAAATGGAGCCACACCTTAATTAAAACCTTCCCAGGAAGCGTCTTCTCTCCATCTCCACAGTCGAGGCTGGCCTGGTCTAGTGGGTGTTCCAACTATGTCTTGTTGTGTTGGAGGATGGCATAGTTGACCTGGCTTTTCCTCCTCTTAAGATGGTACCTACAGTGACGACCGTCTATAGTCAAGAATTTGTACTTATAGTTGGCAAACAGCGTTGCTGGGCTGGCTGTTTGTGAATACAATGGAATTCACAATTTCTCGCCTGAGATATAATTATTCCAGGGGGAATAGTGAATAGAAAGAGGGTGTACCTGTGCAGTACAAACTACTGTGCATACACAAGAAGGGTTGTACACTAAATACACAGTATTTACTATGAGCAGTACACAAACGAAAACAGTACAAACCAGAATTAGCGCATCACACAAACAGTGCACAACAGAAATAGGGTTTAATTGACACATTATATAACAAAGTGCACAACAGAGTGAAAAAACAGGAATAGTGCACAACGAAGATAGTACATAGCATAAACAATGAGTGACAAAAACAGTGTTCAATAGAGCGCACAACAGTAAGAATGTACAGCTGAAAAAGTGTTCAACGGGGATATTTCCAAACAGTACACTATAGGCACGCACAAAATTAGAACACTAATTTTGAATTAGAACAAAATTAGAACATAATAGGAAGTGAACACGGAAAATTCACATCATGAACAGTACTCAACAACTTTTTACAATTCACATCAGGAAAACTTTCATCAATTCATGAAAACTTTTTTTTTTTTTTACTAATAAATTGATTTATGAGTGATGAATACACAGTATAATCAGATTGTGAGCACAATCAAATTTCTAATTGATTCATTGCAGTACACAGTCGTATCGAAGACATTCGACCGTACCTGCAACATTTGCAACATTTAAGGGTCCTGATAGTACAGTAGGCTGCGTTCTCGACTCACAATCGACTACCAGACACAACACACCAAGCATGATATTCACCAGGTGTTCTGTACACATTATTCAACCTATGTAGTACACACACCCTGTACACCATACACCCTGTACACCACACACCCTGTACACCACACACCCTGTACACCACACACCCTGTACACCACACACCCTGTACACCACACACCCTGTACACCACACACCCTGTACACCACACACCCTGTACACCACACACCCTATACACCACACTCCAAGGACAATACACATTTTTAACGAGTCACATTATGGGGGGATGTATGTTAGCACATATAAACAACTGATATGGACAATACACACCAAGGTCTATACACATCTGAGCCAGTACACACTAGAGACAGTACCCCACCAGAGGACAGTACCCCACCAGAGGACAGTACCCCACCAGAGGACAGTACCCCACCAGAGGACAGTACCCCACCAGAGGACAGTACCCCACCAGAGGACAGTACCCCACCAGAGGACAGTACCCCACCAGAGGACAGTACAAAATAGAGTAGTCAACTTACACTTGATCCTGAGGGTGACGGGGTCGCTGGTGGCGGTGGTGATGGTGTTGGTGGCGGAGCAGGTGTACTGCCCCGCCTGGCGGCGCCCCACCTTCTGCAGCACCAGGGAGTCCCCCGCCAGGATCACTCCCTGAGTCACGTTCTGCACCTGTGCCGTCCCCTGTGGGAGTGTGGGGGAGAGGTGAGAGTCTTGTGGGAGTGTGGGGGAGAGGTGGGAGTGTGGGGGAGAGGTAAGAGTCTTGTGGGAGTGTGGAAGAGAGGTGAGAGTCTTGTGGGAGTGTGGGGGAAAGGTGTGAGTCTTGTGGGAGTGTGGGGGAGAGGTGGGAGTCTTGTGGGAGTGTGGGGGAGAGGCGAGAGTCTTGTGGGAGTGTGGGGGAGAAGTGAGAGAGTTGTGGGAGTGTGGGGGAGAGGTGAGAGTCTTGTGGGAGTGTGGGGGAGAGGTGAGGGTCTTGTGGGAGTGTTGGGAGAGAGGTGAGAGTCTTGTGGGAGTGTGGGGGAGAGGCGAGAGTCTTGTGGGAGTGTGGGGGAGAGGTGAGAGTCTTGTGGGAGTGTGGGGGAGAGGTGAGAGTCTTGTGGGAGTGTGGGGGGAGAGGTGAGAGTCTTGTGGGAGTGTGGGGGAGAGGTGAGAGTCTTGTGTGAGTGTGGGGGAGAGGTGAGAGTCTTGTGGGAGTGTGGGGGAGAGGTGAGAGTCTTGTGGGAGTGTGGGGGAAAGATGAGAGTCTTGTGGGAGTGTGGGGGGAGAGGTGAGAGTCTTGTATTCAACACAGCATATTATAGGGAGCTGGACGAGAGTGAAACACGATTTATGGGTTAATGATGCATCTAACAGTTTTTAAAACTACATGAAATCCAGACGAAATAGTAATCCGAGGTTATGTCATGTTTATACACACGTGTGTATAAACAACATGTTTCAAATCACACCCGACCACCACCCGGGTTGAAGTGGAAATATGGGCTTACGAGCCGCAGCAGCCAACAGCCTGACAGTGGAGGCCGTCATCATACGAGCCTTGGGATGACCTTTGGGAGGAAGTAGGAAAAGCCTTGAGACTGACTACGGGTAAACTGTTAGTGAGAGAAATGGCTAGGCGTCAATTCTGATCTTTTCGCCTGTGTTCACCCAGCAATAAGTGGAGGTATCTGGCGCTCCCAGCAACCCTAAGATGTATAGGAGAGAAACGCCAGAAAGGGTCGTAGTTTAACATGAAGTGACTTGTCGGGGAGAGAGTAGATCAAGAGGGTCAGTAGTACAGAGTAAGAATTACAGAAGAGGAAAGTAGTAACTACAAAGAATCTTATCAATAACATCCAAGAATTAGCTGGCAGTCAGAAAGGCAAGATCTCAATAAGAAATCATCCGATGCACCGAAATGGCATTCAAGCACATGAGGAGGAAAATGTCTGAGTGACTGTATGTCGCTTATAATCAATAGGATGAATAAAAGGCTGCGGGAAATTGCCACAAATACTAGACCCTCATATATAGGTTGTACGAGGACATTTGTCTCATGGTCCCCGGACACTGAAGGTGGACTCCGCCAACTGCGAGACACAGCAACATAGAATTGGCAGTACCTGGAAAAGAAGGGAGCTATAAGAAGAGAGTGCCAAGCCAGTGCTGCTATATAGCCCTTGGAAGGGGTCAGGATAAGCATTTGGGATGGGACGGGGGGAGAAGGAATGGTGCCTAACCACTTGGACGGTTGAGGATTGAACGCCGACCTGCATGAAGCGAGTCCGTCGCTCTACCGTCCAGCGACGGTAGAGTGATGACGACTGCAAGAGATGGGCCAAACACAGCCAAATAGACACTATTTAAAAGTGCCTATTCTCCGTCTAATAAGCCGGAGAGCAGCAAATGTATTTCATAATATAGAACAGAAACATGCATAAGGCGCTGAATTGTATCATCGCATGTCTGCATTCATTGCAAATATCTTGAAAGATTAATTCGAAGATTATTGCAAGATCTAAGAGGGATTATTTATATGATCAAAATACACACGAGCTAAAGATAGAGAAGTCCTGCAAGCTAATAGGAGAAAAGGAGGTAACCTATAACTGAGCTGATTGCATCTTTCTTGATTGCCAGGAAGGCTTTGACACTGTGGCATACAGGAGACACACAAACTGGAGACAGTTGAGGAATAAACGGAAAGTGCACGGCAAGGGCTGAGTGCGTTCTTGTCCATGAGATGAGGAAATTTTGAATGGATTTTGAATGGAGGTGAGTAGTCACGTGAGGATTGCAACTGGGCGCAATTCCTTAACTGGCCTCTGTTTAACGTACTACGACCGATCCCAGGGACCTGCCCGAAACGCTACGCATATTAGTGGCTGTACAAGAATGTAACAACTCTTGTATATATCTAAAAAAAAATCCAACTCATCTGTGTAAATGAACTGGCCGAGTAAATGCGCTCCTGCAGGCTGCCCGTCCTCATAAACAAAGGGCAAAGTTCATTCCATGCACCCGCCAAACCCCAGCTGTTTATGAATGAAAAACAGTTTATATACGACTCTCAACCGATGACGTCCGAACACTTCCGGAATAAGGTCATCACTGACGAATTTTGTTCAAACTACAACGCTGTAAATGCTTCACCCACTTACTATAAATAAAAATAATCGCCAACAGAACCTAAACACTTAACCTAAGCAGTGTTTAAATATGCACAATATGCTAATATAAAATAATATTAATTTATATTTGAGAAGATTCCTATTTTGAATGAACAACATGTTAAGATTGTCGAATGCGTCTTTGGGGTCGACCGCTGGATGGAATGGACTTGGTATGAGGACGGGTTGGAGGAGGAGTTGCTGCACGCCAATGTTAGCGAACATGGGGAACTGTCGGAGAATTATGACCGATAACGACTGAAGAATACTACAAGACGATCCAGAACAACTGCTGCGGTAGTCTGAAAGAAGTAATCTTTAATTAGATTTGGACAGTTAAGGGACAGAGGAAGACGAAGCGAAACCAGACAGAGTACTCAACCCGTCCTTTCAGAGGACAGACTAACCCGTCCTTTCAACTCTTACGTCCCATTTCGTACGTTATGGTCCCCAACGTTCAATATATGAAGTTCTCTGAAAAAGTAACGGATCAAAAATCCATGTTTTCCTTCCGTACGTTAAGTAGGAGGCTTGGCTTCGTACGTTTTAATCCCACTTACTCTGTACGTTTTGGCCAATTACGAGTAGTAGTGAGCTCTCCCCCTCATTCAGATAGGGAAGATGAATGTTTAGACATCTTGCTAAAGCTGACCCAAAATGCATATATCAGTTGAATCCATTTAGAAAAGCTTAAGAAAAGCTGGAGAACTTGGGACAAGTAGGTGTTCAGGGTTCTGATAAATCCTTTCCCGAGACCCGTATTGGAGTGTGATCCAACATATATCAGACCAATTCTTGAATATGCAACGCCACAGTTGACTTCATATCTTGGTCAACTCAAAACATATTCACATGTATGCAATAATACATGCTTATACAAACATATACCTCCATACATATATAAATATATAAATACATCACATTATTGCACAGTCAATATTTCATCAAGAGGTAAAGTATGTTAATTATTTAGACCGACACACGCTTAGTCGACCTTATATTTAGCACTTAAAAGGGGAATGAGGACAATAAGCTCGGATATGAGATTGGAGTGAAGGAACAGTAACCAACCACTTGCCTCGCCTAAGATTGGACGGCGACCTTGCAAGAAGCGAGTCCGTCGTTATTTCCCCTTCCGGTCCCGGCATAGTTGGGTTTCACTTACGACTGTGTTGTTACCATTCCAATATTTTGTATTTTGTTTTTCCTTAATCATTAAAATCGGAATTCAGATTCATCCCTGGAATTAAAATGCCACCCACTCTGCTAATTAATTACACTCGAACCCCCACGTATATTGCCATCTCCCCACCAACTACAAGCCACCGAAATCCCACCCACCAACTCTGCCACCCCCTCCCCACCCATCCAATATACCAATACCCTAAATCCACCTTTCCACCAAGCTACCTTTCCACCAACCCTCTCACCTTCCTGCTCCTTCACCCCCCTTCCACCCTCCACCCTGCAACAAGGTGGAAGGGGGGAGGACCAACCACACCCACCTCAGCCCACCCACCCACCCACCGGCCCAGGATCGATGCCCAGAAGCTGGGAATAAGCCAAGCTGCCACTTTGTCTCGCTAATTAATGGTATCGCCAAACATTCCATTCTCCTTCATCATAATAATTACCGCGCTCTCCTCAAAAGTCTGAGCAACGACTGGAAATAGTAAATATTTTTTAGTCGTTTTTTAGCAAGAAAGGCGGACTAGACGAGTGAATATCTGAATATTCGTCGTACGAGAGAGTGAGAGAGAGAGAGAGAGAGAGAGAGAGAGAGAGAGTGAGAGAGAGAGAGTGAGAGAGAGAGAGAGAGAGAGAGTGAGAGAGAGAGAGTGAGAGAGAGAGAGAGAGAGAGAGTGAGAGAGAGAGAGAGAGAGAGAGAGTGAGAGAGAGAGAGAGAGAGAGAGAGAGAGAGAGAGAGAGAGAGAGAGAGTGAGAGAGAGAGAGAGAGAGAGAGAGAGAGAGAGAGAGAGAGTGAGAGTGAGAGAGAGAGAGAGTGAGAGAGAGAGTGAGAGAGAGAGAGTGAGAGAGAGAGAGAGAGAGTGAGAGAGAGTGAGAGAGAGAGTGAGAGAGAGTGAGAGTGAGAGTGAGAGAGTGAGAGAGAGAGTGAGAGAGTGAGTGAGTGAGAGAGAGAGAGAGAGAGTGAGTGAGAGTGAGTGAGAGAGAGAGTGAGAGAGAGAGTGAGAGAGAGAGTGAGAGAGAGAGTGAGAGAGAGAGTGAGAGAGAGTGAGTGAGAGAGAGAGAGAGAGAGAGAGAGAGAGAGTGAGAGAGAGAGAGAGAGAGAGAGAGAGAGAGAGAGAGAGAGAGAGAGAGAGAGAGAGAGAGCGAGAGAGAGAGAGAGAGAGAGAGAGAGCGAGAGAGAGCGAGAGAGAGCGAGAGAGAGAGAGAGAGAGAGCGAGAGAGAGCGAGAGAGAGCGAGAGAGAGCGAGAGAGAGCGAGAGAGAGCGAGAGAGAGCGAGAGAGAGCGAGAGAGAGCGAGAGAGAGCGAGAGAGAGCGAGAGAGAGCGAGAGAGAGCGAGAGTGAGAGAG